AGGGGCCGCATTTTTCCCTTCCGGCCCTTTGGCCCTCTTTTTTCCCGCGGTTTTGGTAGCCAAGGAGGGGGATTAGCCCAACCCGGGGGGGGGGGGGGGGGGGTCGTGATATCATTTGAGGCTACCCTCCGTGATTTGCCATGGATGACTCAAACATGTTGCTATGCTTGCCATCTTTATTTGACTTCGACGTTCAAACACGCGCCCATGTCTCTAGAGACGGGGTGGTGTGGGTGCCAAACGCGATGATGTGTGAAGACAAACGCTAAATATTCCCCCTTCTGGTGTTTGAGTGTTCGGGGCACGCCCTATTTTTGTCCTGGTGATATCTACCATTGAACGACTGGGCGCGTCTCCATCACAACATGAACATCACAACACAACCGTCAGAGAGAGTTGGTAAGAGCCTCTCAAGCGTACCAAAATACTGTTAGCTTTCAGGGGCAAACACTCTTCTGACATAAAATCTTTCTCCCGTCTCTATTTCGCGACACCTTCGCTCTGCGGCGCCGACCACAAGAAGTTTCTCTCGACGACTCAACAGGCAGAAAGTGCGCCAGGAGCTAGAACATCTCTACCCGAGACCGACCACGGAAAAAAAGAAGGGTGTTCTTCAACAACTAGCCCGCAAAACGGCGTTTCAAGTATCCTTTCGCACCCGTCCACGTCGTCGTCGTCGTAGCCGGGGAGAGGGTCTTCGAAATCCTTGTCCTCGCTGTGCTCCATGGCCCAGTCCAAGGCCGCGTTAAAGCTCTTGTTCTTCGTCTTGAGGGCGGCGCGACGTGCTCCCTAATAGCATAGCGTGTGGGTACAGCGTTTTTTCACATAGGGCTTTACGTTAACAAAGCTTTGTTTTGAGAGAGAGACACGCTCGCCGAGGTTTCAGCGCAGGATGGATGCATGTTTGTTTGGTGGTGGTTGTTACCGGAAGATGGGTGTCAGTGTGCCATCGTCCGTCGAAGGAACAACGGGAAGGATAGGATCACTTTGAGCGAGACGCACCGTACTGATGAAATACAGCAGTTCTGTGTCAGGATGATACATTCGTTGACGTGGCAGCACCACAGCCTCGCCGCATCAAACACTTCTCTCCCAGAATCTCCCAGATCTCCCCAGTCTTGGTCAGCAAAGTTTGTGTCTGTTGGGGAGACTGTTAGCTTGGACGCTCAGGCCATACTGCTGTTTCACAGAGGGGTAGGCTTACCTAAGAATGACAACAGCAACAAAAAACACAACAGTCGCGTTTGGGAAGGCTTCCGTAACGCCCGTCCTTCCGCGTACGGCGCTTCCGCCCACCGGAGACGCGCCATTCCGGGTAAATCGTAAAGCATTAGGGTTGATACTAGGAATACAGGCGCAAGAGTCAAGAGTCAATAGTGCACCCTGGACGCAAGGCACATAAATGACACTGAAGTTGGGGCAGGGAGCGAGAACACACATTTTCTGAGAAGGACATGTCGAGAAGGCCTTTCACGATCTCTGGGTCAGGCTGCATCCTCCCTTCCTTCTCCTGCTTTTTAAGCCGGGCGCGTTCCTTCGCCAGCCTGCGAGACGAAAAAGGGGAGTATACCGCAGCGAAAAGGGTGCACAACAGCGAAAATGAGGTACAGCAGCCATGTTAGCAACGGCGAAAGACCTATGGAAAGGCGAGGGGCGGGGTTGGGACTGATATGTGCGAGTGTGTTTTGAGCTGTTAATCTATTCATAGCATCGATCGCCACAACCGGTTGACCAATGAAAATACGCCAGCCATATCACAGGATGAAAAAGGTTTCGCCGGTGTTTTCTCGTCTGTTGGATGCAAGATCAAAAATCTATACATACAGCATCACTGCAATACCCTGTACTGCTGCAAAACATCGCATGATAGTACTGCATGATGGTGCTATATGTCATGAAATGATACCTGGCTTTCTCGTTCTCGCGATCCTGCTCCCGCTCTGCCTCGTACTTGTCGCCGCCGAGATCCTTGGGGTCCACGGCGTACAGCCCATGCCGCAGCTCCGGGGTCATGTAGATAGCCTATGCGTGACAACAGCGGCAGGTATCATTGTTAGTCGTGTAGATAGCCTATCTTCAGGGTTATGGTTAGAGCTAGGCTGCGATTCGTTAATTTCGCACAGATTCTCCACACGCCCCCATGCCAGCACTAGACTCTAGACACAATATCAGTACCGATAAGGTAAAGCCTGTGACAACGCTCAAACTTGACACTCGGGCGGTGGGCGTGTTTCTCTTGAAAGTAGGCACTCCAAGTATAAAACCTAGTCCTTGCCGCCATGTCTTCCCGCGTAAGGGGAGCGATTGCGTTGCATCCTACTACGGTTTATTGCGGATTTATCAAGTTCAGGTATCACCGCCCAGGCGCATGCATCATAGGATATGTGTCAATCCCGGTGCGGGAGTCCCTGTTTTACCAACATGGGATCACTGCTGCCGCCGTAGCTGCCGTCTAGACCATGCATGGTGGTGGATACTCATGTCCGTCCATCTCTACTGCTAAAGGCCTGGGAAGGCGCACTGGCGCCCTGGTACATGCTAAACTCCTCCAGTAACATGAGTTTCGAGAGAGCAAGTGCGCATGCTTTTCACACTCCGTTTATCAAGCCGTCAGATCAGATGCCGCGGTCTCCACAAGGCAGAGAAAATGCTAGCGACGGACAAACATCAACGGCGGGGTGGAGAATATCTATATGCGTCGATGCGTTTTGCAAACCCCGTTCTGCTCGAGCTCACATAGTCCGCGTGAAAACCATACGCCGTTCATCATGTATTTGATCAATATTTCTGTCTCGAAATCTACTTGCGCACTACTTCTGTATGCCACGAAACGGCACATCCGATAACAAAAAAAAAAAAAAAGAGTCGGCAAGCAACGAATCTACTACTGTAGATACCACCAGGTCGGGTTCACAACAGCAGGCAAAGACGGAACAAAGCGTAAGAGTCTACTGCACGCACCTGTAGGAGAGCGTTGAGGTAGCACGTGGCTCCCTGGTTGTCAAGCCCGACGAAGCCACTCTCCGCGCGGCCTAGCGCCTCCTCATCCCCCTGCCAAGCACGGTGGGAGGGGGACAAGACAGAGAACGTTCAGAAAGAGCGAGATTTCTCCATGATCACATGCACACATTCGGGGCCAGAGGGGAGACAGAGCGAGAACACGCCTTTCCGAGTACGCAGCACATACACCTAACAGACAATCACATAGAGCAAGCGGCAGAGGAGGATGAAATGGGTGTGGTGAGGACCCAAACGTCTGCTTGAACCTCCGGTCGAGTATACGGTGTGTGTCTATTGCAGATGTCCCACCCACCAGCCCACATCGTGTATCTCTCTCTCTCTCTCTTTCTGCAGTAACAAAACATGCACATACTTGGATTTCCGGCACCCATGTGGGCCACGCGCAATCCAAGAGAGCAGGGAAAGGCTTTCACCTGCTGGACGGTAGGGCCGCTGCTGTCATCGATTTCCTCGAACATGTTTTTGAAGGCTCCAAGATGTGCCATCTTTGCTGGCAACGATGAAGTGCCTCTCCTTGTCTCGCCGCAAACCAACCACCTATCCTTCGGCCTGCCAAGCCGCGACACTTGAACTCTGTCTCCGAGCCAAGTGCCCGCACTGAACACTTGCCTACGCTCAGCTTTCGAATAAACAAAGTGCTCTGAAGGCACCGACGCACGAGACTGGCGGTCCGGACGCCGCACTGCTCTGCTCACCGTGGGCTTGGCAAACCAGGGGGGGGGTCGCAAAATCGGCGTATCTATGTGCAGCATACCACCCACAATTTTAAAAATCGGATTGTGCGGTCAGCGGTCAGCGCATCGCACAACAGCGGATCCACAGATCCACAGCTGCATCATCCACCATGCTTTCACGGGTTCATGACAGACTCACATAGTAACCAGCAGGTATCCCACAAGCCTCACCGCAACTAATTCAACATATTCCTTCGAACGGGTTAGCATCTGGAACGTGGCTGATGGCAACTTTGTTTGTTCTGACAAAGGCACAAGCACACTAGTCTACAGTATTTTACGGTGACGGTTTCAGGTCGCCGACGAGAGATGGGCACACACAATTCTACAACGCCCGACAGCAACGACTCTACGATACAATATCCGCTTGCCTCGAGCGCAGACCATTGTTCTTTGCGTGTAGTCGTTGGTGAAAGCACGTGTCAAAACTCTTGGGTCCGGGATCGAGTGGACAACGGAACTGTACACAAAGGAGTCGAAAGACTTGATCGGCTAACAACGCGCTGTGCAGGCCGAGTGCAGGGGACGGTGAGCATGATCCGCGAACCTTCCCACAATACATGAAACACCAACGACGCTGTATCAGCCTTGCCGTCCCGCAAGCTAAAAGGGAGACCCAGGCTTCTGGCATGATTCCCCAGAGAAATGTCTGTGTGTTGACAAGGGCGCGATAGCCTTTCTAACCTCAGCTGTCATCCGTCGCAATGCACTATCCATGATTGATCCCGGATCGGCGGGGTACGCAGCCCGATTACTGCAGTCTGTCTTGTCGATATGAATACCCCGACCTCCAGCAAAGCTCCTTGCATCTGTCAAGCCCGTTTGAAAGCCGCATGTGGTGCTTTATTAGTCTCGTGTGTTGTCGAGCCCACAATACTGCTGGTCGACAGGTCGATCGCTGTGTTGCGTTGTTAGTTACCGAAGTCACACAAACAACTTCCTTAGTCTATACCAAAGGCTACAGCATCAGCTCTGTACAGCACACTTCCGACAGTACTCCGCAACTTCCTTCTCCTGGCAGCACGCCCTGGCAGAACTCTGAGCACCAACATTGTACTCATCATGTTAACAAACCTGAAGACCGCATCCCCTACAACCACCTAAACTCTGGCTACCCTTGATGTTCAGCAAAATCTCATCTTAGCATGAGCGACAACAGAGACACCGACGAAGAACAGGCGCCTCCAGAGCCAGAGACAGGAGAAGGGAAGTTCGTGTTTCCGAACGGCGCGGTGTATGGTAAGAAGTGGACACCGGCGCTCACTCATGCCATGGCTGACTCATGGTATCACATTTATTCCGCTATATCGCCGATGAAGTATGACGTCGACGGCTCCCTCGGAGTACATACACGTATCGGAACTAACGAACCCCATGCGCTAGAAGCTTCGCGTTCCATCAAGACGCAAACAACCGCAGCTCCAGAACGCAAGCCTTTTTACAACGACGTCTACCAAACGCAGCCCTTGCATGCCTTACATCTATTGTTACTTAAGTTTGCCTTGGCCGACATGTACATGTTATTTGGAGCGAAAGTATCAACTACTACAGTAGTATGCTGTATGCATACCTCCATATATACGTCAGCGGTACTCGCCGTGCCACTTTCTTCGACTCGTCGCCATTGCCAGGTGCTTCCTCAGCATTGCTGATTTTGGTCTTTCTCTACGAAGTACCTCTACACCTTGCAGACCTAAACCAGCCAGTGAAAGCTTACATTCATGAGTGCAAGAACGCACGTACTCTATGTAGATTGCAATGGGCGTGACATTGAACTGCTCCATTTACTCGGGGCAACGGTGTTGAGGAAGCGTGACAAGCGGGGCATGCATGAGATCTGCTACCGTTTACTATGCAATTATTATCGTTTTCTTGCTTTCAGAGGGACAATATATCGTGATCGATGGCGTCAAGAAGCGTAACGGCTTTGGCACGCACACAAATGGAAAGGACAAATACATTGGAGAGTGGCAGCTCGACTCAATGCACGGTCAAGGTAAGAAAACGCAATAGTATATTTCCAACAGATGTAGCAGCCGTCGGTTAGGTTATTGTGGGGTACAAGAACGCCCTTGTTGTCCAGAGAAAAAAGGACCAAGACATGTCACTTAGAGCTGCAGCCTAGATCTTGTGCGCTGGTCCAATCCAAGGGGGTCATGGTTCCCTTCCTTCTTGTACGGGCATCCGGCCGATGATCGAGGGAATCATAATGACGCGCTAGTCTCGCATAGTTTTCTGCGTGCCGCCGACGCCGGGTTACGGTAGACACTACAGCGTATCGCCACGGGACTGGGTACTTCTCCACCAAACAAAATCCTCGAAAACCTGCACTATGCTACGCTACATGCTGTTTCAAACGGAAACGGCTTCCTATGTATATGTAGCCTTTCCCCAAGGCAATAGGAAAGTTCCGGCGCGACCTTCCACCCGTGTTACCCCAGCTGATGCGTACACTACTTCCGAGAAGGTGTAGACTACTTAGTCTGACGTCTAGAAGTATGGAATAACAACGCACACCGCCTCCCCATCCACCCCCATCCATCACAGGAAACACGTTCAGGCTCTGTGTGGTTGAATCCATTCCACATTAACCAGGGGCGGCTCTGCAGTATACAACACCGCAAAGAGCTGGACAGTTGATATAGTGGTAGCCATCCTGAACTCGTGCGATATGTTCGTATTCTTGATGAGGCATATTTGCAACCTAAACCTACCGACACTTTGCCCCACGGTGTCGTTCAGGTGAGATGATATTTTCCTCGGACGCCAGCTACCGGGGCTCTTTCGCAGGCAACAAGTTCCACGGTGAAGGGCGGTACGAGTGGAACGATGGCGCTACCTATGAGGGTGGCTGGAGAGAGAACAAGTAAGGCCGCGCTCCACCGCTACAGAAAACTTCATATTTGGCCGCACGTTAGTCTGCGTCGATGATACCGTCGATTGGCGAAACTATTGAATGAAACTACAGTATTTGGCCACCCTACTAAAAAAGAACTGATATGTGTTAACAACAGCACCGTCGATTGGCGAAAGCGTTGAATGGCACCCTCGTTCCTCGCCCAACCACGGTGAGCAGGATGCATGGGAAGGGGTGTTACTCGGACAGCGAAAAGAGCCGTTGGGAGGGAGACTTCTTCAACGGGATGTACGACAATGGTCGCGCAAAGGTGGCTCTTCGCTGAGCGACAGCGGGCTCTTTGCACGTCGTATACATGGCCCGTTTTCATGTTGTGGCTATAGTTACGGCGCAATTGGATGGCGGCTTTTGACGCCGTCTGCTATTGGTACTTTGTGCGTGATTGCAGAACGATGAAGTAGCACCGGTGAGGTGAAGAACATTTTTCGTGGTGTATATTTTTGTACGTAAAAATTTTACAACACATGTGGCTTGGAAACCACGTCACATTGCCACAACCAAGGCCGGCCCTTGTGGACCAACCACGTTTACCTAACGGCAAGGTCCTGTGCGAAGTGGTCCCTTTAGAATGATGGCACTTGCTCTGTTTCCCAAATGAGCATCAGTTTTGCAGAGTCCACATTGAGAGAGAACGCTCTGTCGCTGTAGTGTTGTGGGCTCGTTCCCCGCCCGGCGAAGACGAACCAAACTTGTCGAGCGGCAGAGAGAGGAAAAGGGTCTCGACTGCGGCACCGTTTTGTGCGGAGTGGTACGTCCGATTGGGCTCAACACTCCCATCCTTCGTTCCCCATCATGAGGGATCCTGACAACGCCGACGCACATGTGCGAAGGCAACAACAGCGTTCGATTCAAGTAAAAAAGCACTTGATGATATTAGAGCCCCTCCACGACAGCGATCTGTCGAGGCGAAACTGCCAGTCAAACGCGCAGCAACAAGCGGCGCCTTGCTTTAAGGTTGGTCTTTCTGATGGGGTCACAAGGGAAGCCCTTTCTCTTTCCCCCGCCAAAACACTCTGGATTCCGACCGCAGCGCAAATGTACTGTAGGCATGAAGCGGACGCCACCAACGGTGCCAAAGCGCGAGAACAACTTGGGAGTAAAGTAGCAGCGGTTGCCGCCCCAAGGTCATTTAGCCTCTCCATGTAAACAGAAACACGATGGACTTCCGGGTTGACACTAAGCCCCCGACTGCGGCAAAACGTAGCGTTGTCCCATGCACCGATCGCCCCTCCTGCAGTTTCGTCAGTGTCAAAGGAAGGCTTCTCTTCGTACACTTTTCGTGCGACCCGCAGCAGGCGCGATGGTTTCAGCAACGAGAAAAATTCTAGTGCCTCCACTGTCTTCCTCAACACTCCGCAGTACGTAGCATATGAGAAAAAGCAACGTGCCACACAACGGCTGCCGCAGCACAATGGTGCATGCATGGGTTCATACTCTGGAAGGAATGCAGATCAAGCTCCCGACAATGCATCCACCGCCTCGTTGTCTCTCACAACTTCCCTGCTACAAGCCCAAAAACTTGATTTGCTACAACGGATTTCTTCGAGGCAACTTTTCTTAAATCACTCGAGACACAAAAAAATAAAACGTTTTCAAGAAACAGATTACTAACGGACGCGAACGCTTCGGCCAAAGTCGGCTACATAAACTGCAAGAACAAGAACAAAAACAAGTTTACAGCACCAGCTACACATCACAAATCAGGATTAACTACTTCTTGTCCTTTGGTCTGGGCTTAATCTCGTCGTCCGCGACCGCGTGCACGAAGATGTTGTTCGTCGCCTGGGGGTTGGCGTGCTCCACACCCTGGGACCAGTCGTAGCTCATCGCGTACCTTTTCCGAGAAGTTCCGGACGACAGAGAACAAGAGGGTTGGTTAGATCGACCAAAAGGAGGGGGGCGGTTTGGCGAGGTTAGGTGCTTGGGGATACACACCGGAATGCATACCGCACCATCCGATAAACTTACACCAGCGACCCAGAACAAATACAGAAAACAAAACTTTTCGCTTGTGCTGTGGTCCAGCGCTGCCTGCATGCCACATCTACCAAAGTACATAGAGCAGCGGTTTCATCCACTAACAAAACCGCGGCGGCAGCAGCAGCAGCAGCGGGGATATTGACCCAGGCTACTTGGAGACTAGACTGACGGTTCGTCCACTTCTTGAACAAGGTATATCATGGAATTGACAGTGGCTACTGTCGGTGTGAAATCATGACATTGGCAGAGTCAACCCACGCCTCCCACAATAAGAAAACAAAAATCGTCTATTTTTTTAGTAAGTACAATCGTGGAATCGACAGTGGCTACTGACGTTGTGAAATCACGACGCCATTGGCGGAGTCAACCCACGCCTAAAAAGGACAAAGTAAAACGCCTTTTTCTTCCTTACCCAAATAGACCGCCGTCAGGACTGAACTTGCACACCGAGATGGTGTTCCCTTGCTTGAGGTCGTAAGCCTTGAGGCGCTGCCTCGAGTCCTTGTCCCAGAAGTGGAAGTTCCCATCGGAGCCGGCGGTGGCGAAGGTGCCGTACTTGTGGAAGGCGATTGAGTTCACCGAGTACACCGACGATTGCGCGCCCTGTCGCAGCAACATCACGCGTCACACGATAGAAGAGGGGCACACAGGCGGCTGGTAAGCAAGGCTTCAAGGGTCACGCGCCTCACGGGGAGACTGTTCGGTAACAGAAGAGGCGGCTTGAAACAAAAACAGAGGGTTTGCACGCGGAGAGAGAACAAAGCGAATAATAGCGCGACAAGTGGAAGATGGTATTGTACGAAGAGGTGGTATTAGACCGGTTCACAACAGCTAAAGTCAAACGATTTTTGGGGGAAGCGGTGTGTACCATCCGACAATAACTCAGACACCAGCACACAAACCTAAACATGGCTGTCGTTGCTGGTTGCGCTCAAAGCGCTGCTGTGACACACGCAGGACATCTCAAGAGGCAAATGACAAACGCGCAAGACGCAGCGGCCGGGCGCTACTACGGTATAGTGAGAAAAACAATCGTCCCTGTCCACACTCTCAACACGTAAGAAGAGCGGGATACAACCAGCGGACACCCATTTTAACAACCAAACATTGTCCTGTCCTGCTCTCTGCGATTCCCCGTAGACGGATGCCCATAGAGGAACGCGCTAGATGATGCAGAGAGGTCGGACACGTGTGGCATACAGCAAGAACCCCGCCTCTCGCTTTCCTCGTCCTATCTCATCGTACCGCGACTCGGTGGCACTTGAAGGCGAAGCTGAGCTTGGTGTTCCCGTAGGTGGTGGCAGGCTTGTAGCCCGAAGCCGCTTGCTGCTTGGCAGCCTGCTCGCTGAAGTACTCGATGCCCACTCGCCCCTCGATGGAGCCTACGGCGAACCCCTGCTGGTCTGGGAAGATGGACACGCACCTGAATCGAGCCCGGAAAACAGCAAAAAAAACAAAAATGCAACATTATTAACGTTTAGTTTGGGGTCACCACCACCCAAGCCGATGAGGGTATCAACGTCTTACGGTCAACACAACGCAACGATATCGCGCCTGCAACTCTGAAGCGATGATGGCTCTAATGGCCGTTCGAGTGGGGCGGTTGGTCTCCGGAACGAAATAATGTCATGCACTGTTGTCTGTTGGTGAGAGTTTGACAACAAGGGCGCGGGCGTGCATGGCTCGAAGCCACGACGGCACACTCGACGGTTAAAGAACGACCGCCATAGAACCACCGAGGCATCGAACCAACCTGGTTTGATATCTTAGAGGGGAGTCGGTCATCGTTTGCGGGGCCGGGCCGTTGGTGGTCCAGCTCCCCAGGTTGTACACGCAAATCTGACGTGGGTGGTGCCACGGGTGGTAGGTACCCCGAGGAAAAGGAGCAGAAACGAGGTAAGGTGCGGTGGAGAGAGAGAGAGCGTCATAGGCGACGTACCAGAGCGAACGAGATGAAATCGTGCCGCACATGCGGTACAATAAGATCCGCCGCGTCGAGCAGACTCCAGGCTATGTTCTGAATTTCTAAAGGCGTTTCCCAAGGCGCAGAAAGCTTCACTGCTCAACATGTCAAAGATAAGGCGAGCGGCAAAAAAATAAAAAAAGAGACACAAAAAACAAACACAAAATGGGAGAAAATCGATACCAACCTAGGAGACACCAGAGACCAAGTTGAAATGGAATGACACACGCTTGTACCAGGTTCCGGTTGATTTGTTTCGACGGACCCACCTTCCGGTCAGCAGTGGCGACCACCATCATGGCTCCCTTCGTGTCCATGGAGTAAGCCCTCTCGCAGAGAGTCACGACGGCGGCGGGGGTCGACGTTCGAGTGTCCCAAAACTTGACGGTACGATCCCTGGCATACAGTAGCATACATACATATGTACATCCAGGGGTTGACATGAGCTTTGTAAGAGAGAGACTGGTGTGCTTGGGTAAGAAAAGCAAGGGGTGCACCCGTCGAAAGTGCTGGCTGTTTGAAATGAGTTGCGAGAGACGCCGTGTTTGAAAGGACTTGTACGATAAAACGTGTCTGAAAAGGAGTTCCAAGATAAAGCGGCGGCGTTTCGGTTCGTTGAGGTGCAGGCGGTGGGGCACCACGTTAACGTTGCTGACTTCTTTAGCAACCAAAATAAAATCAGCTGGTCAGTCAGTGCTGATTGGCCTACATGGTTTGATCTTCGGTTGGCACATAACGAAATTCGTGGGGTTCGAATGTTCGGATGAAACTGGCGCTTTCCTTTCGAGGAGGGTCGCTCCCCTCGCCATCTTCGTTTTCTCATGTCGGAGAGATGAGTGCTGCATACCACATGTTTGCGACAACGCCTCATCCTATTTTCGGACGTAAAACGAAACGGCCACAACACCATCTACATGTAAATATAATAAAATAAATATCAACAACACCTATCCATGCATGTCAATACAACTTTCTCCGGAAGATGGCAGGAATGCCGGATATAAATATTAACATGTGAGCTTTAGAAGACGTGGGAGGCCAAACGACTGCAGTACAGTACGGTCACAGTCACCAACACTGCTGTCATAATACATCATGCTCAAAGATACTGACAACGAACCATGGCCGTGAATACATGACAACATGAAAACACCAAATACCACCGAGAGGACTTGCGACTGCCGCATGATATGAGCACGCACGACGAATTGAGATATGCTTTCAACAACAAACCACATCACGTAACTCTGCAGGCTGCTGGACGGTATACTACGCACCAAAATAAAGCACAAAAGAAACACGAAAGGGGTAAAACTTAGCAGATCGCCACCCTATCGCTGTACGAAAAGTATCCACGGTCATATATGCAACGACACGGACACATGAAGCTGACGAGAAAACACCGACTGCCAAACGGGCCAATACGCACGACAAGGCAGGGAGACATCACATACTGAAAACTGAAAACTGAAAAGAGAGTAGCGTAGACCGATTGATTGTTGCAAGACACGTTAGTGCCGGGTTCGAAAACGAACAGCTCCTCACCAAGAAGCACTCGCGACGAGGTTCATCTCAGGGATGAAGCGAACAGTCTTTACCGCCGCGTCGTGCACGCCGATCTGCTGCCCCGTCGTTCCCGGCTGACCCAATGACCACATGTTAACCTGCGCAACAGAAAAACACATGCGACACCTTCAGATATTGCAGCGCGTGCTTTCTGTCCGATTCGTACTTAATAGAACAGCAGGCACGACACAAAGGAGGCAGCGTATTTCAAGAATGCCGTTTGCTACCCACTTCAGCTTTCGGTCGAAAATGTGTTGGCAGTTTTTTTGGCGTGACCCGGGAGGTACGTCAAGCCAGCCAGTTCACGCCGGGAGGGGGAAGCCAAAAAGACAAGACAATACTCTGCGGGAAGGCCACCACGTTCTCGCTACCATACAAATTCTGGTATTCCGCTTGCCAGAAAACTAGGACGGTAACAGACTCTAATCCCTTGTCTGTCCTCTGCCTCCTGTTCACACATGGGAGGAAATATCGACCATGTCGTTGTTGCGGTTGGCAGACCGCCGCCACAGACTAAATACTATCCGCAGAGCTCTTGCCTGCTTGCTGGCTCCCCCCGAAAAAACCTTGGTGCCGTCCGCGGAGAAGTCTGTGCACAGGACCGGCGCGTCGTGGTTGATCTGTGCTTTGGGCACCGCCGTAATCGGCTGTGTGCCGTAGCCGCGTTGCAGCTCCCACACTCGCACCTGGCTCGCAGAGTCCGTCCCCGCGCAAAAGGAGGCGGCTTGTTGGTGATTGGTGTGCGCGTATTGAAAAAGCACACGATAGGCAAGGACAATGTTTTCCCCGAAACCAAACTTCAACAAACACGATACAATTCACAAGGTCATGTTTCCCCTGCATCCAAACGTTTTAAAAACACGAATAAAAAGAAATAAAAAAAAAAAAAAACACATCGAACAAGTACACATCCCATGAGGTCAGGGGCTTTTTTTACATCAAGCCGACACGCTTGGGTCCCCACTCAGACCCATCCCGCGCACAGCCAAAACCCACACGCCCTCCTTCACCCTTCACAACAAGTCCACCTTCTCTCTTTCTCTCCTTGTCAAGTATAGGTGCGAAACGTCGGCTAAATACAGCAGCGTAGCATCACAGCGTATCCACATCCACATCAGGACGCTACTGTTAACGACAGCCTGACGGTGAGGAAATCCCTGCGACCTTCTTTATCTGCCACTGCATCCGCTGCGGCAACGCAGCACCGTCATCAAGCCTCTTAGGTTCGTGCGGCGATCTCACAGACGCTCTACCCTGTGTATGTAAAAATGTCGCAGCCAATATCGCGTACATTTAGACTATGGTATTCGTATGTCGCAGCACTTTTCTGCCTGCGGGGACATCTCTCCCCGATCGCCAACCCGAGGATGTACAATGACAAACTACAGAAGCTGTTACCGCTGAGGGGTGTCGTGTAACAACCAGAGATGTGAAAAAGCGTCGTTGCGCAGAATTTACACACACGCTGCCAAGCTCGTGTCTTTTATTGAAGAAGGAAGGTAGGCAACGACTGCTTGTCATGCTGCTGGCTGTTGTTTCGGGCGGTGCGCTCGAACGGTGAGAGAGAGCTTTTCTCAACAAGTACTCATGTAATGTGTAAACTTTCATAGTGCAAACTTTCAAATTTAGCAGGGGCAACGGTGGTGCTGCTGTGGGAACACCTTGTCCAAACAAAATTAAAGATCTCCTTAGACAGGCAAGAGAGCGCACGAGATGCAGCAATCGACAAATATACACGCTGGGCAACTAAAGGGTGAGCTGCTGCTGTAACCAGAGTACATGTATCGACGGCACTGCAACGACTCGACTCGGACACTCACTCCGTTGTCCCAAGAGCCAGCTGTGATCAAATTCCCTGTGGGACTGAATGTGATGTCGCTGACGCCGTCGCTCGGAGCGCTTGGTAGGGCATAGTCCGCCTTGCCCGCATTCATGGCACCAAAGGACATGGCTTTACCCTGGAGTGGCAGCTGAAAAGACGAGAAGGCTGAGTGCGCCGGGTGCGGTGTGTCTGGCTCGCTTGTCCCCCTCCGATCTACGGAACCCCTTACCTACCTCTTATCATGTCGAAGCGCCCTCTGCGGACCCCCAGTAGACGACGTAGCAGCAACGTGTGTCTTCACCAACGAAAGACAGCGAGACAGACAGAGACAGAGGGGAGGGGTGCTGGCAGTGCAGGTGTGTGTGTATGTTAGCCAATTGGAACTAAAGGTGGGTGCGGATATGTCGCCCAGTGGTCTACTTTGGTTGCTGGTTTCAGGTCAGCTGTATCTGTGCGGGGCCTTCACAGCATCTCCGACATGCCGTCAGTCGATCCAGGCAGCACGTAGCGACAGGGCGCCGAAGACGCACAAGTCGGCGGGCCTATCCTCTCTTAGGGCTTCATGGGCATCGGGATATGATGCTGCTGGAGGGCGGGGTGGACGGTTCGAGGAGGGTAATAGGAGGTTGAGCAGCCTCCGACTGCGACCAAGTCAGCAGAGGCTGACGATAATGGCTGCGTCGACAACAACAGCTGAAACGGGCGGTAGGCCTGCTGCTGCTACTGGGCCAAGGAGCGTCAACTGGCCGCTGTGGTATGTTCTTCCAATCGCACCGTACCAGAGGAGGAAGACGCTGATGAAGGAGATCGTCCCTGGGAAGGTGAGAGAAGCAAACACAGCAGCGGTAACGCGATGCAAACCGCTTGTCGACGTAGGCTGCTGCGGTTGGTGCATAGCATGTGACATGTGACACCCGGCAGGCTACCCAGCCACGAGCGCAGGCCCCACAGCAGATGCCACTGCCGTCACGAACAGACCTTCGTTGTGGCCTGCTTGATGCCGAGAAGGCCCGTCCCCTCTACGTACGGTTGCTAACGGGTCGCTGTTTTGCGACCGACATGTTCGGATCGTGGTTTCTCCGCCTTCTTGATCGAGTCAGACACATGTTGCTGTCACACAGTTTCTCTCGCATGACCAAATCCCGGTTGGTTGCGAAACAGAACGTTTCGACCCTCGTTAGGGAGGAGCGGATAATCCCTCTATGCCCGCAGGCAATACAATCCCCGTGATGGGTTTTGTGCGATTGTGTATCGATATGCCTCCGGCTGATGTGCGTGTGTTTGTGTGGTGGTGGCGAGCAACTCTGTGTAGTCTACGTATGACTACGGCTGTAAATAGAATTGTTGGAACCGAACGACATACCACTTTCGAGTACCTGCAGCGGGAGACCTCTCTCTCTCTCTCTGTCTCTCTCTCTCTACAACTCAACAAACTTCCATGCCCCTTAGTGCATACCACACCCGAATACTGTGCAGGATCATCCGGTGCCGTTCACTTGGGTACCGGGGTATGAGTACAATGTACGTCGACTATGTTCGCAGATGGTCGAACACGCAACGCGGTGTTCATTTACTCCCAGTTGTATAGAGTGCCGTTGACCAACATCGTGTGCATCGGAGTATCTAACTGCTACCACACCCCTCATTCTCGCAACCTGGCCGTCTTCTCCTGAAAAGGTCTGGACCTTCGACCAGCTGCAGGGCATTTTGTACGTGATCGTGCCCGTCCGCATGACGGTCATCAAGCTCGACAAGTCGGAAGGGGGAGGGCTGTTCGTGTACGCCCCCGTGGCTCCCACGGGCGAGTGCATGGCGATGATGCGCAAGCTGGAAGCCGAGCACGGGCCCGTGAGACACATCGTGCTGGGCACGCTTGGCTTGGAGCACAAGGTGTTTGCCGGGCCGTTCGCCCAGAGGTTTTCTGAGGCGCGGGTCTGGTACACCCCCGGCCAATACAGGTGCGTTTGGATCCGAGCACCACTACTATTGTTTGTGTTTTGGAGTCAGCTACTTCTGGCGTTCCGTACCGCACAGGTTCCATGCCGTACCGTACCACGGCAACCGGGCACCACTGCTGTTTGTGTTTTGGAGTTCTGCTCCATATCATACTGCTGGTCATTCCATAGTGTACCGGTTCCATGCCGTACCGTACCACGGCAACCGGGTACCACTGCTGTTTTGTGTTTAGGTTCTGCTACTACTTGTCGTTCCATACCGTACCAGTTCCATGACCTACCTCACCACGGCAAGCGTCCAAGTTTGGCGTACATGTGCGATTTCTCCGTGGATAACAACGTTCTTTGCGGGTTACCTTGAGAGAATACCAGGTCCTACAATATCTTGTCACTGGTTGCCACGGCTGGGGTTTCAACTACCTCGTGTACCGTAATGCTGCTAATAGGAGCCTGACTGACTCTCACGGATTTCATGCTCGATTCCTCGCCGCAATCCCTCCTCTAAAACCAACCCGGAGACGCCGATGAGTTGCCGTGCGAAACAAATCGATATTTTGCTGAAAACAAGGACACCGGTTCACAACTCGCCCGTCATACCCCTCCCGTATGGAGTGTCTGTCTCGAGCGGATAAGGACACTCACTCCGTTAAGAGCATGGACGCATTGCCCACAGCCGAAGGTCGAGCAGGCAACACTTAAAAAACCCTCGCCCCCTCTTGTAACCGCCTGCTGCACGCACCCAGCTTCCCGATCGGCTTACCCCTCTCTTGGTTGGGGTTCGGAGGCCGGCCGACGAAAGAGATCCCCGCATCGTCGGAGGATGCCCCTTGGGGGGCCGACCTAGACCACCACGTGCTTGGCCCCTTCTTTTCCAAGGACGGGTCAGGGGGGTACGGAGAGACAGCCTTCTTTCACAAGGTCAGTCGGGGATCCCTTATGGGGACTACTTTTAGGGATACATGGCGCACAGCAGTGCAATGGTTGGTGAACGGAGGAAGTTGTTGGTCGTAGTTCATGACGGTAACATTTTCGCTTGACTTTAGCCCCGGACTGTGCAGTGTCTTCGGACTGTTTTGTTGTCTGCCAACGACCCACCCCAGTAGTTGATTATTTAATGGCGCGCTGTTTGAGGCGATCTTCCCCTCGAGACGCGGAAATTGGTGCCGGTACAGGACATCGATGACCCTGTTTTCTTAAATTTAGCTCTTCAATATCATGGAATAGACGAACACCATGTGGCGTGTACCACCAGCCTTTGTTTGGTGTCCACACCAAGGTGTACGTATGTCGCGCCTCCGATGTACACTCGATCACCTTGTATCGTCTGCTGTTTGTGCCTCAACGCTGCTCGGGGGTAATAACGCACGAAAACCGTGACGCTTCCTTGTACGGCAGGATACCAAGACTCTCCTCGTGACGGATATGGTGGTCAAGGTAGAGGACCAAGTGCCGGAAATCGTGTGCGAGGACCCACGTCCCCTCCTGTTCCACGCTAGAGATAACGCCTTAGAGAGGGTCGAGGACACCCCGGAAGTCCGCCTCAAGGGCTGGCGGAGGATAGTGCAGGTAGGGAGAGGCCCATGCGGCTTCATCCCCTTGCTGTCAAATGCCTCCTCTCGCGGGTTTCCTATTTTCGAGGCTGACGGCGCGGATGCTTGCGATGAGTGTAGCCCCGCTGTGGTAGGGCGACTTCACGTGTCGAGTTGATTTCGAGGTGACTTCCATACCTGGTGATGCCTCTCATTGCACTTGCGGTTTTAGTGAGTAACGATCACTCAAGTAAAGGGTGAGTCACACCATCAATGGTTAGCATGTGTTGGTGCTCGATATGACGTAGTCTATCGCTCGCGTTGGATATGCACCATAGGTTAGTTTTGAAGAAATCCGGCTGCGCTGCTTCTACACGCTATATTCCCCCCCGGGGCGCTCTCCCACTGTTCGTGCCCTCTACCGCGGCAGTTCGCCTTGACGTTTCAGCCAAGCAGCCTGGAGGTGGTGGAACTGAAGAAGGCGTTGTTTGACGACGCGCCGCAATCCAAGATGAAAGAGGTGATGATATATTGTTTATTTCATGCCATATGAGATATCTGATACAGTAGGATGAAAGACGTGACGATAGCCCTGTGCGGTATGTACCTGGTAAGATTAAAGAGTTGATGATGGGCCATTCTTTCATGCCGTACGAGGTACCTTTTTATAGTTAGATGAAAGAGGTGGCATCGGCCCTTTCTTTCATGCCCTATGAGATGCGTAAATCGTCATCCTTGGATCCGCGCCGTTCGGGCGGCAGGAGGGTCAACTTTTTGTCAACAGCATGGCTAAGAGTGCCTTTTGTCTTCGTTGGCACAGCCGTGGTTGCAACGTTCCACTAATTGTGTCATCAATGATTCTGGGGTACCAATGTGTTTCTTGGCGATGCCATGCCATGTGGCTGCGGCTCACATAGCAGGCGGCGTCGTGGTGTAACCAAACGATAATAGCGTCACGTCAGGCTTATCTAATCCGGCACCTGGGCTGTCTGTCTTCTTCAAACCCGCCCCCTCCTACCCCGTTTGGTTGCCCCGTCTCCCTCTCGCAGCTTGGGTGGGGAGGCCTTTTCCCATTCGAGTGGAGTAGCTCCAGCGATGACTTGAAGTCATTCTCTGCCATGAAGGTAGGCACCATGAGTGGAACACGTCGGTGTAGATCACGACACTGACAACGGCGAACCCTCACCAAAAGTCTGCGGCGAGCTGTAGGCAGCGAGCAAATTGCCACGTACGTACTAAACTTGACGTGAAGGTGCGGGTGACCGCACAGGTGTGACATCGATTTTTTGGAGCTCGTTTTTGCTCCACGACCAAAGAGGCTGCCAATGCACCGAAAAGGGTGGTTCTGGACATATCTATCTCGTCGAGAGCTACTATGCAATGGCTGTCTTTCCTTGCCCGTGTGAGTCGGGGTTCGATAGCACCCTCCCTCTTGGTTTGCGGGTCCATCGATCTTTCTTCCAGGCGAAGCTTGTGTACCCTGGTTGTACCACTGACGTCGCCTACACCTGTTACGGTATGCGACGATCTCGCTGTATCAACAACAACGCCTCATATCCATCTCGACAAACCTAACGCCCAACACAACAACGCGCTTGCTTGTCTCGTACACCGCTCTCCCGCCCGCACAGGGCGGCCTTCTGGTGGCGCCTATCTTGCAAGTGCTCCTGCTGAACCGGGATCCGGGGCCTGTCCTTGACTGGGCCGACAGAGTAGCCAAATGGCCTTTCCAAAGGGTCATCCCTTGTCATCTGGCCAATGACGTCTCGACAACCCCGAAGGAGTTCCGCAAGGCGTTCCGGTTTTTGGAGAAGGGGGGGAGCGGGGGCGGCGGCGGGTCGGCGGGGCTCCTGTCGCTGTTCGGCGGGGGCGCAGGCGGCGGGGGGAGCGGGGGGGCCCAGCCGTTGCCCGAAGACTTGCAGTTTTTGAGGGATGCTGAGAAGACGCTGGTAAAGCTGGGCACTCTGTTTCCGGCGGAAGAGCCGATCGACCGGTCCCGTCGATGATATCGGTTACCATCATTATCATTCGTTGTTGATGATGGCATCTCTCCGTTGTATAACGATGATATCGATTGCCATCATTCTCTGTTGATGATGGCAGTCGGTTCTTCTGTTTGATTCCGGCCTGCTTCTCAGCTGCCTCTCGACTACCTAGTTAGGCTGATTGGTTGGTTGGGGAGGTTTTTTTTATGTGGCTTGTTCCCGCTGTTGCAGCATGGTTGCCACATGTCTCAGTCCACTGCTCGTGCTGATTGTCGGTCGATCTTCCGTGTGTGTTGTGTGTGTGTGTGTCATCACGCTTTTTATGTTGGTTTACCCGTCTCGTTGACGCTGCTGGCGCGATGTATAGTATTGTTGAAAGCAAGCCGACGAATATCGTCGGCGTTGCTAGTCCCAAGCTTTATATTTTTATTTTAGTCGCGTGTTGCGCGTGTGCTGACACCACGAACGGGAAGGACCTTAATTAGCCGACACACTACGCAATAATGGTCGTGATGGACGCGGGTACGCAATAAAAAAACAACACATACATCCGATCCTCGGGAATCACGAAATGCAACGTCTACATACACACGGTAGGCACTCTGTCTGTCCCTTTAACACGGTACGTACTGCTTTTGCCTACCACTCACTCTCGTCCTCTCGTCCGCATCAACAACAAACAATGCAACTTGCCGCACAACAAGAGCCATCCCTGCAGGAAAAGCTGTACAAACAAGCAAAAAGCAGCTCCTGCTGCGGTAAGCTGCTGCTGTATGTACCATTTTTCAGCACGCACGAACAACAGATACAGCACAGGCGAAAGAGCTGAGTCTGCCTGTCTGTGTCTGCGTCGGCGTGAGTAGGGGTGGGTGTGAGGTATCGATAGAGTAACGACAGGATGTTTTTTTATGTTTATTCTTCTTAATATGACACAACGAATCCATCTCCATCATAGAAAAGAGTCTGAGACAGATTAGCAATGAATTCATTGTGTATGGCATCTCGACGAGTATCGTCGCGTTGCCTGTCTGAAGCTTTCGATTTTTGCAGCGGGTAACAATCAAGGTAGACACCAAGAAGATGCCCGATGAGCACACAGGAACCGGGGGACCCCAAAAAACAAAAGCATGAAAAACAAAAGAAAGAAAGAAGCGAGAACAAACGAGTCAGACGCGACAGGCTTCAGGGAGGAGGCAAAAGAGCGCATAGAAGAAAAGCACCGTCGCCGCTCGCTCCGGACCGCTGGAAACTCTCACATAGCACTACATATGGAGCAAATATTAGGTAGGGCCCAAGTCCATTGCTTGGCATAACGCCCATCGCTTCACATGCAGCAGCCGGATGCACGGGTAGCCTCTTACTCAGCAAAAAGCGAAACGACTGCGGTTGGTTGACGTTCGATGTTGTTGGGACCCTACCGGCGAAAGGCGAGAGAGAGAGAAAGAGAGGTAGACAAAAATACGAGAGCGGAGAGAAGACAAGGCATTGACTCTCTCGAGAAGAGAAGGCATTGACTCTCTCGAGAAGAGAAGGCATTGACTCTGTCGAGAAGACACTCACTCTCGTCCCTCTGGCCCGCCGCAGGCTGTCAGACATGATGTCACGTTGTGTATCGAACGGCGATATCCGATGTCGGCTCAGCAACAGCAAACAAGCACAACAACAAACAAATATAGTCAGTCGCCGTGTGCGAGCTGTGGACTACTATCTTGTTGTAGGAAGTGAGAACTAAAAAGAGCACGACTACATAGCACCACGGACGAACTATTATCGCAATACGCTTGCCGTCCGCCATAGATGCGCACCGCTGCACGAACGAGCTGTTGGTTATCATACCTCACTACGTAGTATCTAAGATTGTGCTGCCATCTAGCTTACCTATCGCTCAAATTACGACTACGCAGCAGACTCAAGGCAAGGAAGCAACACGCGTGCCGATGCATACCAACCATGCATGCAGCAAAACAAAACAAGGCGGACCGTCTGTTGTTGTTTGTCTCTTCAACTGACTGTGCTGCCGACAACGACACTGGAAAAAAGTAGGAGACGCGCATCGCCTACGCGAGCAACGCGTGCAGCCCAAAAAAACAGAGACGATAACCTTACGACCTTTCTTTTCAGCACATTCATTCCGAGCATATACTGCAGCAACCGCAAGTATGTACAGCAGCAGCCGCATGTTGTGTACAACAACGGTCACTCAGGAAGAAAATCACAACAACAAACAAACGCAAAAAAAAAAAGGTGGTGGCGCGCAGCACGCAGGACCCTCTTTCGCTTTGAACCGGCCATTCCCATGGCGAAACAGACAAGGTACAGCAGTGAAGGCCGACTCTTGCCGGCCCCAGGAGGCGGAAGCTGCTACAACTCGGGGACGGGTCATGATTTGCGATTGATTCCTCACCGAACGGATATCGAACGATGACACTACTGTTTCAACTAGCTTCAGAAAAGCTTCAAAATTAATTGTGAAACTTGCATAGAGATGGCAAGTAAACACCCCGTTCCAAAGAATATCTGTCGTTGATTTTTATTGACTTGCGGACCTTTCGGGGCCAGTTTGTTTTAGCGTACCTCTTTAGGGTAAGTTAGCCTGTGACCACGGGAATCGACCGCGTCAAGTGTTGGATCAGTACGCACATATGAAGGTACTGGGTAGAGAGAGATCTGAACGGTTTTTAATGCGAAGACAACAACAACAACAACAACAACAACATTTAAAACTGAACTAATGGGTGGTGGGCGGATGACCGGCGGACCCCAAAAAGCAAGCGGAAAAATAAAATATAGACTATGTTAAGAAAAAAAAGAAAAAGAAGAAGGGACGACAAAGACAAGTGAGCCAGACGCGACAGGCTTCAGGGAGGTGGCAAAAGAGAGCATACGAAAACCACCGTCGCCGCTCTGAACCGCTGGAAGCTGTCACATAGCACAGCATGCAGCAAACATTATAGGGGCCATGCCCCCGTTGCTTCAAGTAAAGAGGCAGCGCCCATCGCCTCACATACAGCAGCCGGGTACGTACTACACAAATAGCCTCTTACTCAGCAAGAAGAAAAACGATTGCGGTTGACGTTCGATGTTGTTGGGACCCCAACGGCGATAATAGGCGAGAAGGAGAGACAGGTGCTACTACTACGTAGATCAACAGAAGAAAGCGTAGAGAAGGCATTAATTAACTCTCGAGACCCTAACCGAAGACACTCACTCTCGTCCCTGTGGCCCACCGCAGGCTGTAACGAACGACGACATCCGATGTGTGCTCAGCAACAACAAACGCAACAAACCAAATATAGTCGCCGTTTCCGAACTAACTGTGGAGACTCTCTTTCATCACTTGTGGTATGAAGTATGAAGTGACAACGAAATATAAAATGATGACGAGAAGCACCACGGACGAACTATTTTCTCAATACGCTTGCCGTCGCGATAGACGCGCACCGTTCCACGAACGACCAGTTGTCAAACCTCACTACGCAAATAAGATTGTTGTCCTGCCATCTACCCCTTATCGCTCAAATTACGACTACGCAGCACACTAAAGGTAAGTAAGGCAGCAACACGCTTGCGATGCTTTACCACCCATCCATGCATGTAAGAGAAGAAAAAAAAAAGGGTATGGCGGACCGTCTGTTGTCTGTATCTTCAACCGTGCTGCCGTTGCTTTTCTTCATGGATATCGGCACAGAGAAAAAATGAGGAATGCGCATCTCCTACGCGAGCACGGCGTGCAGCCCAAGCGACAGAGACGATAACCTTATGACCTTTGCAGCATCTTCCGAGCATAACAGCAGCCACCGCATGTGTACAAACAACGGTCACTATAGACTAAGGAAGAAAATCACAAAATCACTGGTTATCGCCCCACAGCGAGCGATAGCTGCTCAAACGACTGTGAGAGGTCTTGAAATCGTCTCAGCTACCCAGAACTGCTGGTAGTTGCCGGAGATTTGCAGGTACGTACTGCTTTTGCCTACCACTCTCGTCCTCTCGTCCGCACATCAACAACAACAATAAATGCTAATTTTCGCACCACAAAAGAGCCATCCATGCAGAAAGTTGCAACAACAGAACAAAAGCAGCTCCTGCTGTATGTACACAGAATGTCCAGCTGTGTGCTGAGGTCGGTCAGCATCTCGAGAGAAAGCGTAGCCAGCAAGCAAGGCTTGGCGCGGGACACGAGAGAAGCAAGCAAGGCTTGGGGCGGGCGGCGAAAAAAAGAAGACGACTCTATATAAAAAGATCTGTAAAAAGAAGGGTTGGCGCGGGCGGCGAAAAAAATGAAGACGACTCTTATACAAAAAGATCTATAAAAAGAGGACCCTCAACGACAAGTCAACCAATCTGGTCGTTCCGATGTGACGATGTAACGCAGATCTTCTTGTCGACGGAGAAACTGGTTATCGCCCCACAGCAAGCGATAGATGCTCAAACGACTGTGAGAGGTCTTGAAATCGTCTCAGCTACCCAGAACTGCTGGTAGTTCTCGGAGGTTCGCAGTGTGGGCTGAGATCGGCCTTTTCGACCCGGTCGGGCAAGGGGTCCGCTATGCTACTGAAAACTCCACAGACGGAAAAAAAAGACTTTTGATCGACTGAGACCCAAGCTAGAGCTTGGGAATTAGTAGCGGTGACGGCAACGCTAGGGAGTAGAAACACAAACTGTCGCGCATGAACTTGTTTCATTGCAGTTTTGTAGCGCGCCTGGCGGAATCACAAACGGCATACAATATATTCCCTGTTGACTCCTCAATGTTGTTCCCGATTGAGATCAGCCCATTCTGCGTGCCGTCGAGCACTACTTGGATGGCATGAGCGGGCTAAATCGCGCCCGTACACAGCAGATGCACCCTGATACTTGGGGGGTTACGAGCAGGGGCCACACAACGATGTTCATTGCGGGCCTGACTTGTACTCTTTTCGCGAAACAGGGGATATGCAATCAATGCGTCCGTAGCTGGCTTGGTCTAAACAGTGTCGCTACACATGAAGGGATGATCTGGCTCACCCTGGCCTGACAACTCAAAGGGTGACTACATGTATACGAAATAAATTTGAACCACAGGCGGGACGATTGTGTTGTTGTAATCTTGGCCCTAGAGCATGGCGCGTGGCTCTACTTGTCACATCGTTGAGATACAGCAACCGTTCGGGACACCGCCGATCAGGGGGGGGGGGACGCCAGCACATTGTAGTATGCATAGCAAATTTATGTTTTTGTTCCCTACCGAAGACTCTGGGGTCTACCGAGGCAAATGCCAGAAGCTCTAAAGCATGGTAGCCTTGCACCTGTTACCAAGCAGACCTGTGCTTCCCACAACAAGCGATAACACTACCTTACGTCATTCTGCCGAATCCATGTAAAGAAATAACACGGTATCACCACTCGAAAAAAAAAAAAAACTTCCTACAATATCGACAAGATATGCATATTTGTCGCGCGACGAGCATGGTTGCGCCCCATTCTACTACAGCTACAGCACGAGGGAAAATTACAAGAATCGACCGATCCATGCATATGTGCACACCGTATTCCGAAACCATCAACAATTAACTCCAACACATTCCAGGCATACGCAATACTCCGGCATCTCGCAAAACGGCGCGATATGATACTCTCCACCTTAAAAACGACGGGATTGTTAGTCTACTTTCCTCAAACACGAACACTCTACAGCTTTACACCTCGAATCTCCGGCAATCGAAACAAGCCCTGATGACCGCGTCACGCATGACCAACCAGCGGGACACAAGTATTAAAATCAACCTAAGGCGCATACACCCCGCCACGACTGCTTAGCGGTTTCAAGCTTCGGCAGCGACGGGACGGTCTACCTTGTACTCAGCGGCGAGGATGACGTGGTCCGAAGGTTCTTCGGAAACGGGGAACGGCCCGTTGACTTCGCTCCTGTGCTTCAAGGGCAACACCTGAAAGGGGCGACAGGATCAGGACGGAAAAAGACAGGAGGGTTTGCTGCCTTCGAGTTTGGGGTTCCGACGGCATGAACGAAGAGTTTCGGCCTGCGACAGGTGAGGACGAAAGGGGGGAGAGATTGTGGCCTGCCTCTGTCTTGACATTGACACATCCATGCCATGCCCCGTGTCGAAACGCCGTCTTCATCTATTCGCGGCACGTATTCCCGACGTCTCGTTTCTCGGAACTCGCCAAAAAGCGAGAACGGAAGTTAAAAAGATACCGCACGCAGCCGCAAGTCCCACTTCATGTTGCCCCTGACACCAAAGCTCCTGATGGAGATGCTAACCCATGGCGGGGTGCGCCCGAAAACAACAGTAAAGGGGACGAACGTTTCCGATCTACCAGTATGGTCTACACAAAATCATCTTCGCGCGCGACCCTCGAACGTGACACACTGCTGTCGGGGGTAGGGTCTGCATCAATCACCTTGACGGCGGTGATGCCAGGGGTGTGGAAAATGTAGTCCAAGGTGTCGATGAACGGGTCCCAGTCCTCCACCTGCGAGAACACAAAACGGCAGCATCGGCCATGGCATCAGCAGAAGGAGCGGCACACACAATTTAGGTGGATCACTCTTTCCCAAATGCTCGTGCCGACACCCCCTGACTTCAGCACGTCAGGAATCGATTATTGACCAAAAAGGAAAACCCTGCTAGTTTGCATCACGAGCCGTCCTACTGCTGGACCTGACACCATGTCCAATACAGATCAGACTCTCACGTGAACTTTTCGGGCTCTTGCTTCGCGCGGAACCTCTATAACGAATGCAATTTAAAGCTCTTTCTTATACCAACGACGCCTCCGAACAGTGCGACGGGCTGAGAGAGGGAAAGTGCACGGAAACAGATAATCGAGAGAATCTTAACGGATGTCTAGCTAGCAAGTGCTTCATACGCATATACCTTAGCATTGTTGGTGAAATCCGGCTCCTTCCCATCCACTTGCTTGTAGGCGCTCTGGAGGCAAACCCCAGTCTTGGGCGTCCAGTCCTTCTCCCACTCAGGCCGAACCGGGAAGTCGCCGCTGCTTTCAGGCAAGTCGCCTGTTGTATTTTTGGCGATTATAGCATATGGTTGTCGGTTTGACGACCAACGGAAGGAGGAAACAAATCAACGCTGAAGGGGGGACAGGTGGGCACTACAGTTATATGAGTCAGTCGGAGACAAGACAATATCCGCAGGAATACCATTCGGCCCAACCATTTGACGCTTCAAACATCGGACATACATACATCTCCAGACAAACAGCTGTGCTCCAGACCCCCCACGCCGTGCTCGAAAACAAAACAAAACAAATCATTCCTGACACGATTGCGCGGCGGGGGGAAAGGGTCTGCGGCCTCTCACCTTCAACCGCAAGTTTGTAGCAATCCGAGTCAGGGTTAAAGTTGAAGTCCCCCGCGAACACAAGCGGATCAGGTCCCGCCAGCTTGGCTAAGTGCCTTATGGCTAGCGATGTGTGCATGACCATCACAGGCCGGATGTTGAATAGGCACGGCATGTGGTACGTCCCTATGCAGAAGGTGCCCCCGTTGGGCAAGTCGGCCGCCCCCGTCTTGGGGCGGAGGCGGGCGAACAGCACCTGGTTGAAACGCCTCTCCGCGATCTGCAGTCAGTTTTCGTCGGTTGAATAGTCCGGCGAGGAGCACGCGGGGAAAATAATGGCGGTTCGCGTAGATGAGAAAACTAAATGTAATAATGTGATTTTGTGGTGTTGGCAAGTGGTTTGATGTCGCTGTGGTTGTTGTCCTCGTTGATGGCGACCTATTTCCATCTACACAAGTGTCGAAAGTTAACAACAAACATCGCCTTGTGCATTTCATGTCCAAGAAACACGATGCTATGATATGTGGTGAGTGTTTTCGTGGGCTCGGGAATCGTTGCTTTGTGCAAAGGTAGGTAGGTGTACGGACGCGCGACCGGACATGGGCCGGCTACATATCGTAATATTTTAGCTGGAATTGCTGACGTGTATTTCTGCCTTATCAAGATGGTGTTGTATTGTTGTGTGTACATGTACAGCTAGATACATGTACCCCAGAACACTCGGCGGCCTCGAGGAGCTGCAACCGCTAACGCTCGTGTGAAGTCGCATCACCAAGCTCAAGCCCAACCGAAGAGATGCCGCTGAGAGGTACATCAAGACATGCATAGAGCGAGCAAGATCAACACAAAGAGAAAGAGAAAGACAGACACACACACACAGAGAGAGAGAGAGAGAGAGAGAGAGAGAGAGAGAGAGAGAGAGATATCCCAAATGCCTTCACGGACACCTTGTGTGACAGAACACAGAACATGTACCGCACCCTACCAAGGCACCACCAACTGAACCCCATCCCAGCTAAACACTGTTGGCTCCCGCGCACCCAAACATAATACCTGCCACGGGTTCTCCGGTGCCCTCTCCCTCTCCGCCGCCGCCTTCCCGTTACTGCTGCTGTTGCCATTGCTGTTGCCACTGCTGCCGCTGCCGCTGTCAGCCTCTCTCGGCCGTTTCACACCCCGCTCGGCCGAGTTCATGCTCATCAGAGCCCCCAGCCGGCCCCAAACCGATTTAAGCACCGGCGTGGCCATCGCGGGCGGCGGACCACCCACCGGGGTCGACGGGGGCTCCGCCGCTTGCTTGGCTTCCTTCTCTTCCCGCTCCTGCCTAGGTTCCCTGCCCCACCTCCTAGTGTCGGACAACCGCGTAGTGTCCACGGTGAGGCACTCGTACTTGTCCAGGGGCCACGCCAGGGCCACGCCTGGTGGCAGGAAGAGGGGCGACGGGAGGGGGGGGTGGGTACTCATGTATTGCATTCCTTAACGGTTGGGCCGTTGACCACGCGTCCTCGAGAAGGAGCGTTGTCGATCACCGACGGCCAAGTCGTTCCTTCCAATTTTGCCAAAGACGGCCCGAAAATGTTTCCCTTAGCCTACATGTATCCTATCGATATCATTCCCCACCTGTTTAGCCCAATTCCTACGGTGGCGAGGGGGGGGGGGGGGGGTCAGGGGTCATGATCTAATCTTTTATCATTGTGCCATCATTCGTTGCTGTTTTCGAAACAATCGGTGATGAACCATCGACTAGGAAGTCGGGCGTGGGTGGTGGGTAAAAAAAGGCTGTGCTCTTGAAGGAGAGGAGAGAGACATGTATCTGGCCAGGAACGAGTTTTGTTCGTTTCGTGCACATGTGTGAATACTGAAACTGTGTCCGTCCGTCCTGTTCGATCCATCCACCTTACATGACCAGGTATAGGTACAATGTATACACTCGGACGCGGAGTACAGCAGAACCTAGGGACAGCAGTAGTGGTAGGTGCGTCGGTTGCCCTTGACAACTTCTTGGAATTGCTTCGCTATCCACAAAGTAAAGGTGTTAGACTGTCGACCTCTAAGATGGGTGAAACATGCACACCACCTGCCGTTAACCGTTATGGTCGGAGATCAGCTTGGATCTTGGATCTGCAGCGGCACGCCATCGTTGGCGCTCGTTTACGGCAAGTTTACACGAGGGAGCACAATAAAAAAACAATCAGCAGGAAGTTCTCGTAGCCACACTCTTTCCTTGTGGGATGCGGGAATACACAGCAGTCAGTGTGGCAACAACAGGTCTTCGCCGGTCGTAACTGCAGTGCATACTCGGATGCTCAACCAGCGCCTCACCCATGTAGTTGTTGAAGTGCTTGCCGTAATGTGCTGTCACGAACGCGTACCCCCGATCCATGAAGTACACGTGTAGGTCGCCTGCCCACCCGATGCCCACCTCTTGCAGGCAGATCACAGACCCTTTCGATATCTGCAACGCGCATACGACACACGATACACGCCAAAAGCAAGGAGGTGGGAAATGTTTGGGTCCCTTGGGTCAAATCATGGCAAAACCTCCTCCCTGCAGGGAAGCTGTGTAGTCTAGCCAGTAACCGAGCAACCGAGCTGTACAACGGCTGTAAGCGGTGGTGTGTAGTTGGAAAGGGGTCGGGACCCGGTTCCAAGCAACTGACTGCGACAAGATTACGGCGGCGTTGGGGTAGCGCCTAGCTATCTCGCTGTGTAGCAGCAACTGCACGAGAAGCAAGCAGCACAAGAAACATGCACACAGACAAGATGCATCGACTTCGATGTTCGATGTCGTGGCTGTGTGCTACATACATGTCTTCTTGTCAAGCCGTGTTGCCGTGTTCCGCCCGCACCCACCTACCTCCGCATCCAGCTTGTGCTTGACCCTCTTCAACCGGGTGGGAGCATCCAAGTTCCTAGGGCTGCACTGAGGGAACCGGGTCGGCTCCGCCAGGTGGCTGCAGAGGATATTGTACGTCGCCACGCGGAAGTCCATCTTGTTCGGCCTCTTGGACCAGGAGCACTTGAGCACGAGGTTGGCAGGAGGCGGTGTGGGCCGTACGAGGCGGCTGCTAGTGGGGACGAGGGTACTACTCCTCGCGAACAGAAGGGAAGAAGCAGCGCGGTGGCCAGTCCAGGCAAGCGATCTCATGCACAGCAGAAGAAGGAGGAGAGCGTGGCGGTGGCACCCGGGGTTCGCCACGTTTCCGGCGACAACTGGGCTCGCCGCACGAGAGCTCTCCAGTTCTGATACGCCAAGGCCAGAAAAGTTTGCTCGGCTGGGGCGAAGGTTTCAATGGAAGTTCGGGAGGCATTTGTATGTATGATTTAAAGTATGAGGAGCCCTGCCCACCCACCCTGCCATCCGTCATCGGCAGACCGTTGCTGCCAATGGCGCGATTCCCGCAGCAGAGAGGACTCGTCTCAGCCCTTGCGGTGGGCCTTGCGATGACCACGAGGGTGGCTTCTTTCAGGTGAATTGTGAATACAGCAGTTGGTTCAGAACGTACGTGAGGCCCTCTCTGTCATCGCATCTCATTGACTGCTACTTTGTACACGCTGACAACATACAAACCAACACTGCCTGTTGCTGCTGCTGCTGCTAGTGCTTCACTTAGGCGTCGTTCGTGCGGCACGGCCTGACAATCATGGACGTTGCTTACTGTGGGAATAGTTTAAACTGTCAGTCACCCTTGTGGGTTGTCGGTGGAGTTGTGGGTGTCACCGGCATGCAACAGCAGCGTCATGTTGTACAAGGATCGGACGTCCTGAAGTAGAGGCGCCCTGGTCTGAGGGCGAGGGTGGGAGATATATGGAAGTAGAGATGGTTGTAGTAAGGTATTGAACAGTATCGGGGGATACCAAGAGGGTGACGCTGTGGTGGTTGATGGTGACGTACAGGGACGTCATCACGCCCGAATTTAGTATGATTCCTGAAAAAAATATATATTATTAGTAGGCACAAACATGATTAAATGCACTCTGTTGCATTAACCGCACCGAAGACGAACGCAGCAGACGCGAAAAAGTGGACGGAACTGGTACTGCAGCAGTTGACAGCAGGGAAAGCTTGACTTCGCAACACAAAGAAGATGCCTCTCCCTCCCCTCCCTCTCTCTCCCTTCCTTTTCTCCGTCTCAATGTACAATGAAACCGCACCAAACACGAAGGCAAGCAGACGCGAAAAAATAAACGGAAGTCCTACGACAGCAGTTGACACCAGGGAAAGCTTGACTGCGCACACGAAGAAGATGCCCTCTCCACACCTCTCTCTCTCCTTTCGCTCTCCCTTTCCGTGTGACTGTCCTCACCCTCTCCCATTCCCTGTATCCGTTTCATACCGTCTCTGCCCACCCCTCCCCCCTTTTTCTCTCGTTATCAATTTTTCCCACCCTATATCTGTCCTTCTCCGTCTCCCTCTTATTATTTCCTGTTCCCCCTCACTTTTTCTCTCCCTTTCTCTGCCTTTCTTTCTCTCTTTCTTTCTCTCCCTTTCTCTGCCTTTCTTTCTCTCTTTCTTTCTGTCTCTCCGTCTGCCTTTCACCCTGCGTCTCACGCTACCTTTCCCTCGGGCCGTTCATCCCGCCTGCCTCTCCTATCCCCCTGGTTATGACGGGTGACTCCCCCATTTGCTTTGTCTCTCACTCTATCTGTCCCTCTCAAAAATGGTTACGATTCCCTTCCCAAGGGAGTTGAGGCTTGAGACATGATGATGCAAACTTGCCCCGCACAGCAAACTTGTTCCCTTCAGCAAAAGTCAGACGTGACCACCTGAGATTGGAGGAAAGGGTTGAGGAATATTTGGTTGCATCAGTTTGAATGTGTCATAATGTCTTGAGGCACTGGTAAATCGCAAATGCACTTCGTCCGACGTGGAAGAAAGCGCAGGAGGCAAAGTACTCTGATCGAAGTGGACATTTATTTGTTTTTGAAATATTGCAGATGCAGCAGTTATTTCAGGCTGACCCATGTACGTGAATGGATTTGACGTTTTACTGATGTATTCGTCGAAAGAAGAATATGTTGTAGGTGGCATGCCGGAAGAATATAGCAGTTCAACACCTACGCCGTTTGATATGTGGAGGTTCTGGTTCATTCTGTTGTCAGAAATATAATTTACAATTTGATGACGAACTTGCAGATGCAATTCAGGGTCTCCGAGGAAGTGTCGCGCTAGCGCTCTGAACCCACAGGCACCGTCACCTATCTCAGGTTGCAATACCCACGTAGGTTGCGGTGGATCACGGGTGTTGGTATTACCTGTGGCAGCTTCTATGAAAGGAGAATAAACGATGTTTTTTCTGTGTAAGGAATGCCGCGAAGAATTTGAGAAGAGGGAAGTAAAATCATAACCGAACTTTTGTTTCTTGCTCGACTTAAGGCGACATACAGTTGACCATGATCAAATGCTGAAGATCTTAAGTCTAAACCAACCTTAGATAGGCTCTGCCCCTGGGCTTTGTTAATACTCATTGAGTATGCAGCTCTCAAAGGGTATTGAACTCGCGAAAAAGAAATACCTTTTTTCCCGACTTGTGCAGTAAAGTTTATTCTGGGAATGAAGACGATGGGATGAGGGGATTCCTCGGTGAGAAGCTCAGCTTGAATTACACGGCTGTTGGGGGAGATGGCATGAAGAATGCATTTTTGTCCATTTACCAAGCCCTCGGAGAAGTTAATATTTCTAACCAACATTGCCAACGTGTTAGACTTCAGTTTGAGATCGTGAGGAGGGACACCTGTCACGTTGAATTGGTTGAGGTGTTGAGGATCAGCGAACGCTGTGTTCGAGTTGGATTCATCAGATATCAGTGAATCTGAGCTCAGAAATGATACGAATTGTCCACTCCTTCGGGAGGCTATGTCTTCGTTCGAACAATCGACGGCGTGATTTGTCGTGGCTAGAATTGCGCGATCGTTCCACTGCTTTGCGTCTTCGTTTATGTTGGGGTAAACGAAATTTATGAGGTCGTCAAAATCAGTGGTACATTGCAGCTGAAAGTGATCATCAGTATTTGGCATGCAGTGGTTGTTGAGAGGCATCATAGGCTGTTCGTTTACTTGGGAGAGAGGTATTTTGTTCTCTCCAACACGTTGAACAAAATCAGCATATTGAGGATCTTCTTTGTCCCGCTGTGAAATTGTTAGACGAAGGCGGTCAACGTGATTCCAGAGATGACTTGAAATGAAGGCCACATCAACCGTATCTGTTGGACTGCTGCTCCCTTTTGTCACGGGTCCAATTTGACGCCAATCCCCTGAAAAAAGCATAGTTTTCCCACCGAAAAGGTTTTTATTTCTGGTTATATCTTGAAGTGTTCTGTTTAAAGCCTCGACGCAATATCTGTGAGTCATGGGTAGCTCATCCCACACGATAAGATCAGAACATCGAATGAGGTGGGCTCGTTGGGTATTTGTGCTGATGTTGCAAACACACGAAGGAGTGAGGTTTTCGTCCATGGGAAGCTTAAACATGGAATGAGCCGTCCACGCGCCAGGTAGTTGCAAAGCGGCGATACCTGTTGAAGCGACGATAAGAACTATTTTGCCTTGGCCTCTTAGCCTTGCTGCTATACACTTGATGGTATACGATTTACCTGTGCCTGCCCGACTGTCTATCATGTATGCTTTGCCATCTCTACTTGAGACTGATTTCAAAACCTTGGAGTACACGTCGTGCTGTTCAGAAGTTAGTTTGGGCTCGTGCATGTCTGCATACGCTGTGCAATCCGCGCGAGGGAATGAGTTCTTCATTCGTTGCAGTTCAGTCGTGTTGTGCATTGCAGGTGGGAGATTTACTTGTTCGTTTGTTTTCCCATGAAGTTGCAATTTCAAATCTATTTCACGCAAACCCTCTTGAATGGCGTCTTCGTGCCTCATGTGCATCTTGAAGTCCTCGAGCAAACTGTCCTGAAAATCAGACCATAGCTTGGCTGCAGGGGCGCCATCCAAAATTAGAGTAACAAAGAGAGAACGCAGCTGAGATCCGACCTGAAAGCCTGATGCCTCTTGCATGCAGATAGAATACTCTTCGTCGCCTGTAATAAGACCTCTTGCTCTGGCAGCGTCATGGTATGTATCATGTAATATTTCACCGCTGTGTTCGCACGGAACTTTTCGCATGTCTTCGAAAGATCGGCCTGGAATCCGATGAAGCAAAAGTCTCAGGTAGAACAAATCACCTACCGCAGGATCCTGAAAAGATATCCGACAAACATGAACGGAATTCGCTCTCCTTTTTGATACAATATTGCTGTAGGAATCTAAGAACTTTCCGGGCGGTGGTGCTGAAGGTAAGGGGGCGTCCTTTTTTGGCTTTGTGACGGTGTACTGTTCGTAGTAGTCAAGAAGGGTAAGACTGTCAAAACACTCATCAGCAGGTCTTGCGAAGTAGTTCATGAGAGGAGAATGAGTTGCTTCAGTGATTTGCAGACGCTGTTCTTGGGTAGCCGAAGCCGGGAAGGTGACGTATTGTTCGCCTTCGAGATGGGCATATATCTTTGTCACCGCGGGATATCTGTCGTACATGTTAAAACCTAGAAGTCTCCACATTGCTTCGGACGCGCTTAGATATCGTGTTTTCCTATACACTTCTATCTCGTCTGTGATCCCGTCTATTCTACAGCGTATAACGTCCTGGGATTTATGCGTATATTTGAATAAGTATTTTATGCAAGCTGTAGCAGTTACGATGTCGATGTGTATGTGGCAATCAAACCGCATTAAGAGCCATGGATTGTAACTGGCTACCCACTCGTCACCTATTGGAACGTCCTTGTACACGCCGTTAACCTTAGCTCGCACAGTAGGTTTTTCGCTGTCGGGTCTGTTTACTCTTCTGTATTCTACTCTTCCTGTTTTGTCGTTAATTGAGGCAGATGCTCTGAAAGGTTGCGGAAAGTGTTTGTTGCATCGTTTGCGGTTGGTTTCTCTGTCTTCCTGCATACAGGGGGCGTCAACGTTGGTTGCACCACATGGTCTGTGTATCATATACTTTAACACCTTTTCTCTCAGTACACCATTAGCAATGGTTTCATCTGGAATTCCTGCCCAAACCCATTTGTCCATTTCATGGAGCTTGTCGGGACCGTCACCTTTGAAGGTGAAAAAACAATGAGCGTGCGGATAACCTCTCTTTTGCCATTCTATTAC